AAATGGCCCTGTGGCTTAAATACTAGAGTACTAGTCTGCACAACAAGCTTAGGGACAATGCCCAGGCCCTGAATTCAAGCCCCAGGACTAGCAAAACAAAATGAAAACACAAAATAAACACTGAGATTCCATCTCACCATAGTTACAATGGCCATTATCAAGAAATCAAATAACATATGCTAGTGGGGATGTGGACCAACGGAAATGCTACTACATTCTTGATGGGAACATAAACTTATTCAACCATGCTGGAGATCAGCATGCAAGTTCCTCAAAAGGCTAACTGTAGGGCTTTCATATGGCCCAGGAATCCCACTCCTGAGCATTTACCCAAATGACCACAACCAAGGGCATACTAAAGCTACAGTACAACCATGATCATTACAGCATTACTTATTATAGCTAAAATATGGAATAAATCCAGATGTCTCTCCTTAGATGAGTTCATTAATAAATGTGGTATATATACATAATAGATTTCTATGCTTGCATCAGAAAGAATAACATTGCTCATCCATAGGAAATGGAAAGAATTGAAAACAATTATACTGAGGGAAGCAAGCGAGACCCAAAGAATCACTGGGTGCATGCTTCCACTTATTAGTAATAATTAGAATATATCTAGGATATAACGGTCCTGTCTTTCTATTGTCACTATACTCCCTAAATTTCCAGTCAAGCAATATCATTTCAAATATTTACTCAACAATTATGGATAAATATTCCATTCAATGCCAGGTACTACTCTCGTACTAGAAGACAGAATAACACATTTAAAAAATAGACCTGGGGGGGCTGGGAAGGTGGCTCAGTGGTAGAGCGCTTGCCTTGCATGCCTGAGGCACCACATAAGCAAAAAGAAAAAAAGCCGGAAGTGGTTCTGTGGCTCAAGTGGTAGAGAGCTGGCCTTGAGCTGAAGAGCTGAGGGACAGCGCCCAGGCCCAGAGTTCAGTCCTGCATTTCCCAGTTGAGGTAGGAAATATCAGTAGGTTAGTAGTGGTCGGTGTGGGGTTTATGAAATACATGGGGCATACCACAATATTTATAGAATACCAGAAATACCATTTACTGCCAGGGAGTAACCTAAGGACATACAGCAAAAGAAGAAAACACTAAAGCTTTGTAAGAACTCCTGAGTTGTTTGAGAGCATTTAAAGAACATAGTGGAAAACAAAAAAAATCATTTATGCAACATAAATAACCACTTATATCCTCCCTCTTCAGAAATTCCACAGAGCAGTGGGAGATTGGTCCAGAGGCTTCTCCTGCCCATATCTGCAATTGTACAAATGTCTGCCTGCCAAGAGTGGGAACAGGTATCTCTCTCTTTCCTAGGCCCCATTTTCTCTCACAAACAATAATCACCTAGTGTTAGTGGAACTTCTCAGTGTGCTAAAGGCAATAGAAGCAGTACCTTGCCTGGTAAACCCTAAAGAGCCTGTGTACATGTTCAGGTTTGGCCCTTGGAACAGATTTGTACAAAAGCAGAATTCTCCAAGAGTCTTGATGTAAGCAGAGAAATAAACAAGTGCTATCCACAGTTGCTACACTATGTTATTTCATTTTTACTAAAAAGAATGAGATATGCAAAGTGTCAGTAAGCATGACGACCAGGGGAAAAAGTAGCTGTTGTTAGAGGATCCAAACATCAGATTTGACAGAAAGATTTCAAAGGAAAGAAAAGACAATAATAATCACATACAGGAAACATAGTCTCAGTTAGAAGATGAGCTCAGTGGTAGAGGTAGGGAAAATAGTGAGGGTGATTGAGTGTAAAATGGATATATAAAAATATTTATATGAGCCACCATGTTCTGGTGGCTCATGCCATAATTCTCGCTCTTCAAGAGGCTGAGATCTGAGGATCAGGGATTATAGCCAGTCTACCCAGAAATCTAAGACACCCTAATCTCCAATTAACTAATCCAAGTGCTGGAGGTGGAGGTGAGATTGAAGTGGTAGGCAGCAAGACTTGAGGGGGATAAAAAGCTCAGAAATACTGCCAAGACTAGAACATAAGAAAATGTATACATTATACTATACTTCGGATTGCATTGTGATATTTGCATATATGTTTATAATCTATTCTATTCACCATCACCTCAATGTCACATTCCCTGCATCATCTGGTAATTTTAATATGTTTCATTGTTATATTTTCATATATTCAAATGATCAATATCAACTGTTTCCTTTCTTCCTGTCAAAGTACTATATAAGCATATAAATAAGCAGATCAATGAAAGCTATTGAAATTGTTTTAGGAAAGAGAGGGGATGAGAAAGAATAATTGAGTGAGTTCAATCAAGTAAAGTTATATTCTTGTATTAAATTTTCAACATGAATCTCCCCTGTGCAACTAAAATATGTTAATAAAAATACTTGGTTTTACACAAGAGTAGTTGATAGCCAGTATCCTACTTAACGGTGAAATCATATGTACTTATAGTCTAAGATCAGCCAAAAGATAAATACATCTACTCTCACCACTTTTAAGTTGCACTGTACTGCAGTTGCTAGCAAGGTCAATTTGACAATACAAACACAAGTATCTATGTAAATAGGAAGGGGTGCTATTATCTTTATGTGCAGGTAACATTAACTTTCTATTTGTGCCATCCTGGGGCTTTAACTCAGGGACTGTGTGCTGTCCCTGTGCTTTTTCACTCAATGCTAGAGCTCTACCACCAGAGCTGCAGCTCCACTTCTGGCTTTCTGATGGTTAACTGGCAATAAGACTCCCATATACTTCCCATATACTTCCATGCCCAGGCTGGCTTCCAAGACCAAAGCTCTGAAGTCAGATGCTGAGTAGCTAGGATGACAGGTAGCAGTCAGCTTTGGGAAAAGCTGACATTATTTTTAATTAGAAAATCACAAGAATACACTGAAAGTTATTGTAGCCACCAGTGGAGTTCAATGCACTAACAGCATATAATTTTTGTATAAAAATAATTGGACATATATGTGAGCAATGAACAATTTTAAACTAATGTAGGAAATCAAGACTATATACACTACTTTAAAGAAATGAAAAATGCATTTATGGGTTGGGAAGGTGGCTAGAGTTAGGGTGCTTGCTTAGCATGCATGAAGCCCTGGGTTCAAGTCCTCAGTACCACATCCACAGAAAAAGCAGAAAGCACTGCTATGACTTAAATTAGTAAAGTGCTAGCCTTGAGCAAAAGAAGCTCATAGACAGTGCCTGGGCCCTGAGTTGAAGTCCTAGGACTGATAAAGGAAAAAAAAAAAAGAAAAAGAGAATAAAGGAGAAATTGATCAGAAATGTAACCTTGAACAATGAAAAGTACACGACAAAGCTAGTCTTGGAAGCACTCCCCTTTTTACTTGATCCTTATCTCCTTGCCTCTGAAGGATTGACTTTTACAGAATATATTTATTGGTTTTTCTTTATATTATTATACATGCCCCTCAGTTGAAGTCTACACACCCATTTATGTTCTATGATCTCCATTTTCATGAGGAATAACTCAGGTCTACTAAAGAGGCCTGGGGAACCCACACACTGGAGGACTGAATATTAGACACAAAAGTTTCCTACCCAACCTTGCCTGAACTAATGTACAGGTTGAGCAAATATCACAGTAAACCTTTAAGAGAGATGAATAGGATCTCAGACATGAGGGAAGGAGACAACAGATGTATTCCACAGTCTAATGGATAAGGTCTGGGAAGACCAGTCTGAGGTTTCCTAGGTATGCAGCCTTGAGTTACTGAGAGGAAGGAACATTTAGGATCACAGAAGAGATAGGAATTCAAAACAAAGGATTGAAACACAAAAACAGACCGGATGGGGGAAATGATCAAACTTCATATCAACACAGACCTACCCTAAACTTCACTCCTCTACCCAAACCCACACTCTTCCTGATCCCCCAAACCACCATCTCTTTGAAGAGCAAGGGAGGTGATGATCCATGGTCTAAGAAAGCCCTGTGAGGGAACGTGTCACGAGTTACCTGAATAAATTATTAAAGAAAAAGTAAGGGGGCAGGGAAGGTGGCTCAGTGGAAGAGCGCTTGCTTTGCATGCATGAGGCCCTGGATTCGATTCCTCAGCACCACATAAACAAAAAAAAAAAAAAGCCGGAAGTGACACTGTGGCTCAAGTGGTAGAGTGCTAGCCTTGAGCTGAAGAGCTGAGGGAAAGCACCCAGGCCCAAAGTTAGGCTCCACAACCAGACCCCCACTCCCCCCAGAAAAAGAAAAAGTAAATGGAGCATAGCAAAAACTCACAGATGGTGCCCAAACTCTGAGTTCAAGCCACAGGACCAACAGCAAAAAAGGAACAGAAAAAAAAAATCCCTTAAAGGAAAGACAAAATGCAGAAACAAACAACCAAAAACTCCTTAAGATTTCATAGGTGGAGTTTGGGAGTTTCAGGGAAATCAATTTTGAGAAATCCAAGTTGAGAAAGGAATTATGGTGCCTATCTACCTATTTTATTCCAACGTCTACATTACAGCAGTGGAAAATGTTAGGGGCTGCGAATACTGTTTTAAAGTGAGAGGAGAGATATTCAAAAACTGAAGGCAACACGGAGACGTAACTTATATTAAGGAGAACATAAGAGATGAACAAAACTGAAAACAACAACCCAGCCTCATCACCTCAATTGCATGATTAGAACTAAGAATTAAAAAGCCAACTTATGCAATGCTCCTAACACATTTCCATCTTCGGGTTGGTCGTTGAATATTTCAGGAGCCAGACAGTGATTTTCAGGAAGAAACTCGCATTTGCTCCCTGGGTTTGGAGAGGAAGGGCTGCAGATACACTGGGAGTCCTGGGAACTGGGATCTGGCACTGGTCGGAATCCCAGAAGCCCACTTCCTGCACGTGGCGCCGTGCATTGTGGGAATTGTAGTCTGCGTTGGCACACAGATCCTTTGAAAGTGATGGTTTGGGGGGGGGGAGGAGGCGGGAAGTTCTTTCTGCGCATGCGCCTCCGCACCCACTGTTGATATTTTCTGTCGGCTAATTCCGGGTTCTTTCCTTCCGCTTCTGCGGGAAGTGCTTGGAAGTTCGGTGTTGCTTTCCCGAGGTCCAAGCCCCGAGGCAGGCGCCCAGCCGCTCTTCAGGGGACCTTGGGAGCTGCAACTTGAAGGAATCTCAGGCTGCGGAACCGATGTCAGGTATGAACGGCAAGCTGGGTGCAGGACCGGAGTCGGCCCCACGAGTGCCTCCTGTCTGGGCTTGGTGATTTGTTTGGGGTTCGGGTGCTTGTGCTGCCATTGGCCCGCGAGCCTCCAGAAGCCGGACCCTGGCTCCCGGAGCCCCAAGAGCAAGCTGGGTGGCTCTCCAGACTAGGAGAGCCGGGAGCTGTGCGTGTGAACGCCACGACTGAGATGCCGCCGGCACCCACGCGACCTGATTCACTTTGCCCAGCTGTAAGCTGAGCACGGAAACGGTTGGGTACTCTCTCCCCAACTCTCTCAAATCATTTGGTGTTGTTGGAAGATTTCGACCCTCTTTCAGGAGGGGACGGCATCTGGATTGAGGATTAAGCCAGAGACTAGTGATCAGAGGGGACAGGAGACTATGTACTGATCCCTAATCCTATTCTCACTGGTTTATTCAACCTCTTCCCACTATCAGTTCTAGTATGAGATCCCTCAGACTTATTCCAGATGTCGCATCAATGGATTTGCTGACGCTACTTCTAACATGTTAGTTTTTCTTGGCCGTTCAGGAAGTGTTGATCTAGAAAAAAGTTGGAGGTAGTGTATATTGCTCAAGGATATATGATGCATACATGTAACCTGTCCTGAAGTTTTAGCTAGTGTTACCCGTTTTGTCACAATCTGCTCAAAGAAGTATTATTTTACATAGAAAATTCTTTTTGGCATTTGAAGTCAGTGAATCATAAACAGTCCTTTAAAATATCATATAGATACAGATTGATCCTATTTTCATCCTCTTCACGTCCTATGGCTTCTGCAACTTCAAAATGTTATGAATACTCTCCACTATATTTGTTTCTGAGAAATTGCAATTTCTCCATATACTAATGAGGCTATTTTACATCACTTAAAATGAGAGAGACTGCCTAAACATGCATTCCCAAACAACTGATAGATCACTTAATTATATATAAAATTAAATTAATATATAATCTATTAATATAATTTAAATACAATTCTACATACTTGTGCAAAGAAACAAAAGAGCTGTGGATAATAGCATTTCTTGTGTAAGAAACCAACCAGCAAGTACCAGCCAAATCACATAGCTATTTGATTTAAGTTTTATGGATCTATATTTTGGGGTGTTCTCAACTTGCTGTTTTGTGTTAATATTGTTTAAATCACCGATAAGACTTTAATCTTCTAATTCCTTCCCTGAGGATGGTTGATTGGAATTGTGTCTCTCCTAAGACCCAGTATTTTATGTTCATCTTATTAGGCCCTGTACCTTCAGCATTATGGCCAAGGTCTTCGTATGACTGCTTAGAAAATTGAGCATTACTGACATAGATCTTTAGTGATGTCCATTTGGCCAAAGTAGGTTAAATGGCAAATTGCAAGTCCTTGCATAAGGGTGCTCTGAGTATTTGGATACAAGGAAATGTGCCATTTCACAACCATTATTGAAACATTATAGCACAAGAAACATGCATTGCAAATGTGTTTCCTGTATAACCTTTGTGAAAAATGCTGAGCTATACTATACATGATTTCCCTGGTGTGTGAATATGGAAATGAATGAGATGGAGTACAAATGCCCAGTGGAGTGCTAGGATCTTTGCATTAAAAGAAAAAATAGTTCATGCATCCCTAAGTGTATTTCAGTAAAAACTAGTTTTAATGAAATGTGGTATGTTTTTATTTTTCAATTATTTTTGTGGGATGTTAGTTTTTTTAGTACTACATGTATATTAACCTAGAAATGAATTGCTTTTATACTATCTATATACCAATTAATCTACTGTAGATTCATCTTTAGTGGAGTGTTTGATTAATGCTCTACTTGAGACATAAAAGATACTTGCTATCCCATAAGAAGGCTTCATGCTTTTCCGGTCCATGTGTAATGTTTTAAGCAGGAAAATCTGGGGCAAAATCACACAGGTTCTTTCCTGACTACCTCATTTGCCTTGTCTCCCAGCCATGCTTCCAGAATCTTCTGTCCATTGTCAACAGCAAGAAAGAAAGAAAGGATCTCTGGTGAGTTGCTTTTGATTTCTCTGTTTTACAGTCCATTTCATGAACCCAATAGTGGACAAGATCGAAAAACAGAAAAACAGATTCAACTTCAGGAACATGCTCCTAAATCAGATAAAGATGGCTTGTAGACTTTGTACATTATAAATCTGACATTCTGTCTAAGTTGAGTAGAGATTTGCTTCAGTTTGTTTCTAGTTTTTCTGATGTTGGAAGAAGTAGTCAAACTTGTTCAAGGATTCACTGACACCGAGGAGGTGACTTCTCATGGAAGCAACTGGTCAGAGATCACAGACCCATGAATAACATTAAGCTGTCCTAATATAATTTTTACTATAGTTGCTGAAAAGTGTGTTCACTTATACCTTCAAATATTGAAGATTACTGAGTAAGGTATGTGTACTTACATTACTCTTCACACGTACTTATTGGACTGCTTCATAGCCTTTTTGTACTTAAACTTAGGCTATATATGACCATATAGTCTATGTCCTTTCTAGAAATCCCCTCTATGTTTCTCAAAGGTCTCTTGACTAGTTTTTTTTTTTTCCTGTATGTTCTCTATTCTTTCTATTTCTTGCTTACTAGCTTTCTTTCTCTTCTTTCCCTTTTCATCTGTTTTACTCTCTCTTTTTATCAGTTTCTCTCAGACCCTCCTCCCTCCAAAAATTTCTCTTCCTTTTTTCCTTGCTTCAAATGCTCTTATCTGTGAGCTAGTATTTCTTTTTTCTTTTTTCTTTTTTTTCCATTGTAAGGCTTGAATTCTTGGGCCTGGTTACTGTCTCTCAGCTCTTCAGGTCAAGGCAAGTACTCTACCACTTGAGCCACAGTGCCTTGTCCAATTTTGTGGTAGTTTATTGGAGCTAAGAATCTCATGGACTTTCCTGCCCAAGCTGGCTTTGAACCGTGATCCTCAGATCTCAGCCTCCTGAGTAGCTAGGATTCCAGGCATGAGCCACCAGCACCCAACTAGAACTAGCTTTTCTTACTGATCACTTTTCCTTTGCTGACATGGCTCTTAGAATTGACATTTTTACCCATTATATAGGAAAATTGTTGCTAAATGTAAGCCGAGGTACTTCTAGGAAGAGTCCAGAGCTAAAGAAAATTAGAAAAACACAAAAACACAGACAGAGAGATAGGGAGGAAGCAGGTGTCCTAAAGCTCACTGCCAGTTGGGCCCCAAATTCCTTCAACTAAGCATCTTTATTTGGGTTCCCACAGGGAAGGTTACTATGAGTACATGCAAAAATAAATAAATAAAAGTAAAACATCTCTATTAATATTACAATCAGAACCAAAAAAAGAGTTTGTGAAAGACACTTGCTGCCTTATTCTTTTGAGACAGGAGACTGCAGCCCAGACGAAGTTTAGACATGAAGTCCATCTTACCTAGCCTTCAAGGTCAACAGCATCCAGAGTTCATTCAGCTCCCAGCCTTTCTAGAACTAAGGAAGGGGGTTGGCATGCCAGTTTCTTAACCAGCTCTAGAGTTGTCTGTTTCAAGTTTTCCATGGCCAGCTCTCAGTGTACTAAGTGCAGTGTGGGTGGAGTTCCAACCTCTTAAACCTTTTCCACTTTCTGCTCAGCTTCCCTACAGATAATTAAAACCTTCTACCCATCAATACACAACAACAAAAAAAAATTGATGACCATGATCCTATTGCCTTTATCTGATCTAACTTCATATGATATGGTGGTGTAGTTTTATATTTTCTTCTTGCTCCATTTGAATATTTTCATTCACTGCCAATATTAGATAGAAGCTGGTTTTTATAATAAACAATACAGTGACCTGGTTTTTTACATTTGAAATATCCCTGGTAGCAAAATGTAACCAACATCTGCTCAGTGATAGACTTTGATCTCTGAAGAACTCCCTACTCGATCATGTATTTGGAAAATATCCTTGGGAAGCTTCCTGGAGAACTGATTCAGCAATATGAGATACACTTGAAAAATAATCAGTGAAAAGATATACAAAAACTAAAAGTAAGATGCACAGATTAGAATAATTTGCATTTTTGTGCAGGCGCCGGTGGCTCACGCCTGTCATCCCAGCTACTCAGGAGGCTGAGAGCTGAGGATCATGCTTCAAAGCCAGCTTGGACAGGAAAGTCCATAAGACTCTTATCTCCAATGAACCACTCAGAAAACCGGAAGTGGCACAGTGGTTCAAGTGGTAGAGCATTAGCCTTTAGTTGAAGAGCTGAGGGACAGTGCCCAGGCCCAGAGTTCAAGCCATACAACCAACAAAAAAAAAAAACATGAATACTTTGCATTTTAGGTCCATGTGTGTTTGTTATTAATGCTATTTGCTAAAATGTGGTTTAACATTTGTTCATGAATTTTAGTTTGATTTTTCCATGTTCCTTTTTTCAAACAGTTTTATTATTATCAGCTTTAAGTAGTTGTACAAAGAAGTTGCCATTCTACAAAACAATATGTGAATAGAAGATGTCTGACATTGTCATCCATTGCTCCTAACCTACCCCTTCTCTCACTATTTTTTTTTGTTTAAATTGAGATTGGGTGATTACATAAATTTCACATATGTCATAGTATTGTGGAATAGAGATGCTTAGTTGAAGTCACACATTTTCACCTTCAGAAGGCAAATTGCATTATCATGGTCTGTAAAGTTTGTGAATTTTATGAGCTTTGTCAATACAAATCATTCCCTATTCCTTTTGAAGACAGGTCTTGATATGTAGTCCAGCATGCTCTTGAAATTGTTATGGAACCTAGCCTGGCTGGTAATCCTTTTTGAATTGCCCAAGTTCAGGGTGTATGGTGTGTTCCATCCAGTGTGGCTACATCAACCATTTCAATGCAGAGTTCACTGATAGTTCATATGGCTGCATTGTTGTGCAGCCATCTCTTCCATCCATGTACAGCATGTTTCATTTTCCATGTATGAAGCTGTATAATCATTAATAGGCAGCTCCTTTTCCTCTCTACCCCAGTCTCTGGAACCATCTTACTTTTTGGCTCTATGAGTTTGTTCATCCTTGGAAGCTGAGTAAGGGAAATCATACCATGGCTGTTCTTTTATGACTGCTGTATTTTACTTACCTTAATGTATTCAAAGATCATCCCTGCTGTAAAATGTAGTAAACTTCTCTTCCTTTTCAATGTCTTTATCTATTCTTTTACCTGTGTCTGTCTTTTGGTTGTTGTCAGTACTTGCTGTGAAGTGATTATCCAAATACTTCTTTTCATCCCTGCTTTCTCTTCTGCTGGTACAAATCTAGAAATAGAAGTGCTGGACCATAATCCTATGTAATTCTCCATTTAGTTCTTTTTAGCTCTGTCCATACCATCTTTGATTGTTTTATATTCCTGCCAGACATGCACCAAGGTTCAAATTGAATTCATATCCTTCCCAGTCTTTGTTAGACTTTTGAAAGATTTTTGTTGTTTTTGTTTAAAACTCTGCATGCTAACATGATAAAGTAATTATTTCCGTAGAATTTTGATTTGAATTTTTCTCATGACTATTGATACTGAACTTTTTATATTTTAATCAATTATTTCCAGATATTTTTTAAAAAGTGTCTTCAATCGTTTTTTCTCATTTTAAAATCAGATTTTGTGTGTGGCAGTTTGTTGTATAATTTTGTTTAATATTTTAGACATCATTCCAATTGTTAGTCACCTTAATGGTATTTGCAAATCTTTTCACTCATTCCATGCTTTTGCTTCTTTGCTGATCATGCCTTTTGATGGACTTCATCTTGCTTGGTTTTACATCAGGACTTTTGGTGTCCTATCCAAGTAGTAACTGTCAAATCTAATGTCATGAAGCTTTCCTGCCCTCCACTCTTCTCCTCCTCCTTTCCCTTTCCCTCTTTTTCCCTCTACTCCACTCCTCTCTTGTCCTTTCTTCTTCCTTCTTTTCCCTGCCCTTTCGTTCCCCTTCTCTCGGCCCTCCACTCATTCTCTTTTCTCTTTATGTGTCAGATGAGGACTTGCTGTGTTGCCACAATTGGTGTCTATCTTAGAAACTCATGTGCTACATCTACCTTAGCCTCCACCATGCCTTTGTTGTGTAGTGCTGGAGCTTGAACTCCAGGTCTGCTTCCTCATTCACTGTTGGTGCTGTCACTTGAGCCAGCTCCCACCTGTTGTCTAAATGCTTAATTAGAGTTGTCTACCCCGGCTGGCTTCCAGACCTCAGATCCTTCACAGCTGGGGAAGGAGAACAGTCTTGTGCCTGAAGCCCTGGTTTGTTTTATTTTTCTTGTCTGGAACATTTAACATTAACAACTAAGTATATACTACAATGAAACAAGATGATCATGTAGAACTAATGTTCAACTTAAACTCAAATACTTCAGTTTCAAATTAAGTGTTGCATTTTATTTCTAATAATTGTAAGTGTTCTAACTATGGGAGATTTTGTTCACTCAGCAAATGGATTATGCTAGCACAACTCCACGAAGCAATTGTTTTATAATTAATTTACTGTTTTTATAGAGGTGATGTACAGAGAGATGAAAATTCCATGAGTCAGGTAATAAGTACATTCCTTCTCTTACAGAGTGTTCCATTCCCTCACTCTTCCTCAATCACTCCCTTCCATCTCTATTCATGTGTTGTTCTATAGTTGACTTTTAATCAGTTTCTCATAACCATCCTCTGCTGCACTTTTCCACCCTATTTCCCTCCAGTTCTCTGACTTTTGCACAGTCTCTACAAGATCTACATGTGAATACAACAAACATAATTTAAAATATTTATTTTTGTTTCAAAGGTGAAGTAAGAAACTGCCTAGAGTTCAAGCCCCATGACCAACAATAAAAAAAAAATTCACAATAATGCTTGTCATTTCTTTCAGATCCATTCTAATTTCCCTGTGTTTATTTCACTTACAAATTACTAGAAATACACTATTTAACTTTATTTATAACATATAGTTTTATTTCTCATGTTGATTTCTATAAAGTTTGTCTTGAGATTTATTCTCAGTGTTCTGTCTTGGTAAATGTAATGACATCCCT